TACAGGGGCAAGACACTACTAAAATTGAGGGCATTGTGACGATGTGATAATAAACAATTGCTCGTTGGTTTCTGGATAATCGTCGTTAAGAGAACCGTTAAATGTCATAAGACAGTTAAAGCTTGGCTTTTTCGGGAACTGAATTTTCAGCAACATAATTTAAATTACGTTGCTGAAAAACGAAAGAGAAAGAGAGAGAGAGAGAGAGAGAGACTCTCGAATGCTTTTACTTTATATTATATTTATTTATTATAAATAGATAAATCTTCTTCTAAAATACAATATAAGTTATTTATTATTTATATTTGAAGAAATAATGCTCTAATTTAGATTCCAGCATAAGAAATTCAAAGATATTATTATTTTAAAATATTCTCGAGAGAATATTCTGAAATCGGTATTCGACGCTTTACGAATTTAAATAAATAAATAAATATATTAATACATGCAAAACAAGATTACAGATTTAAATTTTCATTTACTTAAATAAGTTATTTTAACAATACTTAGAATTTTATTTGTTTGTTTTAATATAGAATTAACATATTTATTTAAACGTCTAATCATCAGATCAGTCATTAAGCATTAACATTATCTCATTTAAACTATGTAGTAGGGAATAAATAATTGTTTATGACTGTATTAGGAACAGACAGACAAAACACACTATTTTATGTATGTAACAGTTTTTCAAATAGAGTTTAAGACATGATTTAATGTAATTTTTATTGTCTACATAATTATGCATGTCAGCAAAATTGTCCTTTTTTTTATTAGAATAGAAGAAATTTATTCTGATTTAAATTTTCTTTATTTCCGAATAATTCTCGATTTATCAGATTACAGTTGCCTTTTATGTCGAAAATAACATCTTATACAGGACTTAATTATACTCTTGAATTCAAAAACTTAAACTCATAAAGAGATTAAAGTAATTTACCTTAAATATCAAAGGATACGAAATGACTTTGATAATAAAAGATATTAGACAGAGATTAATTTTCAAAATTTACAGAATAAACAATAAAATTTAGAAAATAGAATACAGTAGAACCTGTCTAAAATATATGATGCGGTTCCGATTACACAGGTTTTTACTGTATTTAACTAATATAATAATGTAGAAGAAAGGGTTTATAACCTTATAACTTGGATATTTATATCGTAGTATATAGTTAATTGGAGTCTCCAGTCTCTAAGCTTTCCATATATGGTCTAGATTTTAGTAATGTCTCGCCCCTGTACATCATACTTCTCCTGATAACGACAGAGTCATGCCGATCATCTAGAGATTAACGTAGGAAAGATAAACAGACAGATGAGAGTGGGAATGTATTATTGGGCTGGAATAATATTTTTTAAGCTAGAATTTTATAGAATTAATCTGAATAAAATACATTCTTATATATTATATCAATTATACAAACAAATCACGGCCCCTAAATGTACAAAAGGCATTGTTCAAAACAATAGTTTTGGTGTGATTTTCGTTTGCACTTAAATACCCAAAATTAGATATTTCGATAAATATATTTAATGTAAGATATTTCAAAAAGTATTTATTTATATTTTAATTTATTTCGAAGATTTAATTGACTAAATTCTAAAAACAAATTTCAATTGTTAATCTACATCTAGAAAACACTTCTTTTCTTTAAAATAACTTTCATAATTTTGTATAATTTTTAAAGAATATCTTAAAAATAATTTTTAATCTTTAATTAAATTTCAATATGTAGTTTGACGAACGAAATATTATTCTTTTGAGATAAAATAAATTTAATGCAGAATGAATTTCTTTTCTACAACGGTAAGACCGAAAAAAAAACAGATTTCAATTAATTTTTTTAGAACAAACTTCTTCAAAACAGTTGAAGAACAACTTTGAAAAGCTTTAGAAAAAAATATTCTTAATTAAGTTAGGAATGAAATTATCATTAGTTGAATTTATTTTATATTATTCATTTGAAATTATCCATCTGTTCTATCAAGGTGAAACCTGTGATGTTCTTAAGGACTTAGCAAAGTCATTGACCATTGCATTCTGACCATTGCAGGTGTTGAAGAACGTTGAATCAGCTTACAATTCAATACGTTATTGAGCTGTAAGCTGATTCAACGTTCTTCTAACCATTGTCTTACTTTACAAACCGACTTCATATGCAATATTATTAATATTTTTGGTAAGATTATTTTATAAAAACATCGTGAAACGAATTATTATAGTAGATAAAACATGGATTTTATATTATCCAGTTTTCAATATAATAAACTTCTTATCATTATTTTATAATAAATTGATTATTTTTTTAGCTCATAAAACAGAAAATGGGACTTTTTCTTCTTATTTTCTATGTTATCTCACGTCATTTCTCTCATATTTATCGCTTCCCATTTTTAAAAATTCGTGTTAAACGAATATAAAAATGGTTCTATTAAATTTATTAATTTTTTTTCAAATTTTTGTTAGTTTTAAACAATAAAATAGAAAAAAATTTATGATCTTAAACGGGATTTATTCTATTCCTAGACGACAAATACGATTATAAAAATATCATTAATTATGTAAAATAAGTTTATTACATGCATTTTTGTATTATAAATTTTTTTTTTATTATTTCTAAAAGAATAGATAAAAATACGAATTTTATATGTATAGAGGGTGGCTCAAAAGTCAGTTAAATGGAATATATGATTTAATTATTTTAAAAAGTATTTAAAAATCAATTTTATAATGGAGGGGATTTTTTTTCTTGACGTCTTAAAATATTCATTTTTAATATATATTTAATTTAATTGACATTAGAAATAAATGAAAGAAGCGCTAAAGGGGAAAAATATATATCAAAATTAATTATCTCAAGACGTCAATCGATTTTCTAATTATTAAAATTGAAAAATTAAATAAATTCGAGACATATTTCACTTTAAAATGGCGAAAAGATGAAGAAGAAGGAAACTTAATTTCCTGATAATTATTGAAAAGTTTTCTTGATAAAATAGTTATAAATTTCTCACGATAAAGATATACAATTTTTTATTATTTTTTCCTTAAATTACAATAAAGAATTTTAATGACCATAAGTTATTTGTTAAGTGGAGAAACGAGTAAATTGTTATTAAAATATTACACAAAGGATGGCCCAAAAATCAGTTAACAACTGTAAAGATAACGAAAACAATTAATAAATGACCAGCACGACTCTACTGTTATAGGAAAAGTATGATTTACAGGGGCATGCCACTACTCGTAGTAGTGGCTTGCCCCTACACATAATTTGAGGTGGAGAGCATATATTTTAAATTTAAAAAAATTAAAAATATGATTTAATATTGCTGCCCGGTATTGTCACTCAAACTGGCCCAAAATTCAGTTAACTGAGATGTATTTTTTTCAGGATTACGAGTATAATAAGCTATTACAAACACGCTATAACCGTTCGTAAAATAATCTGTAAAAAATTATATTTATATGTTAACTGATTTTTGGGCTATCCTATAATATACGTTAGAACTTTTTCTATTATTTCTTAAATTTATTTTATTATTTTTATAATAAAAACGAGCACTTCGTTCTCGAGATTAACAAAAGAACGTATAGAAAGACAGTAGGTCTTAATGAAGTGATTTTTATTATTAATAAAGGTCATTTTATTTATTCTAATGCCGTTATTCCAACAAACTTTTACCTTAATAATTAGTTTTAAATGTCAAATGATCATAATTTTAAAATATATATACATAAATATTGAGATAATCTTCTGATTTCATCTTTGCTCGATCAGCTGACTTAATTCTAATTTATTGATTTAAAGATCAATCAAAAATTCTTATCTACGAACAACATTCTTTTAATAATATGCAAAGAAGTAAATTAATTTTTTTTAAATAAGTAAACTTTATCTTCGAAATTTTTAATACCGAAAATCTGATTTTAATATAAATTCTACTTTAATATATTTTTAATTCTTGGAAGGAAAAAATACTTGAATAATTTATTTTTTTATCATTACGGCTGTTATATATAACACAGGGAAAGTATGGAGAGATGGATCAAAAAATTTAAATCCTCCCAAGATTTTTCACCATACTCAGTAGACATTGACACTTTAAAGCTTAATAACTCCTGTGCATTTTGTCGAAAATTTCTGATATTTTGCACGGAAGTTTATGTATTAGGAGCATTGATGCTATTAAATTTTGGTGATTAAAGGTCGAGGGAGTAGGAAGATACAGGTGCGAGTCACTTGCCATATCTCGAGTGAGGTCGAACTTGATGAAGATTTTACACTTTATTAGCATTTATAATTTTTTTTATATATATAAAACTCTTCTCTAGCTTCAAAATTAAGCTTTTGGCTATTTTATAATAATTAATAATATAAAAAATATTTTAAATAAAATCGTATAACAGATGGTGGCACACACAATTTTAAGTTTTTACCGGGAAAGTTATGCAACTCGATGTTGGATATTTTTTAATTATTATTTAATAATAATAAAAATTAATGTTATTTGTATAATAATATTATATTTTCGAATATTTTATCAGTATTTATACAATATTTCATTATTTCTCTTTAAAAATTGATTTATTTTATTTTAAAAAAATACTGAATACATTTTTTATATATTTAGATTTTACATTATTTAAACTAAGTTAAATTTACTTATAACAATTTAATTTTAATATTTATTGACTTGTTTACATCACTCTTGCATTGTTTTTTTTTTCTTGATATATTTTATAATAAAAGCAAGTAAAAATAGAATATTTGGAAAAGAAGGTATAAAAGCTAAAAATCACATTTGATAAAATTGCAGTNCTAAAAAAAAATTTATATAAGAGATTTACTCAACTTTAAATTCCATTCAGGCGTGATATGATTAGGAATTTCACCTTTCGATCACATAAAATATCTTGTCTTTTTTTCTTTAATAAATATAAATTAAAATGATCTTATATTTTATACCATATTTATTTATATTTTCAGTAAAATATGGCGATCAGATGGTATCCTTATCTCCTGGTTTTCTTTTTAACTTTAATAATCACAATAATAGCGGCACCCTCTTCTGATACAACAAAAGATGATAATGATAATAGTGTATCGGAATCTCCAGATGTGAAAGGTAAGCAGATTTTTCAGCTTCTTTTCTTCTTTAGAATAATTTTTTTTTCTCTCTCTCTTTTATATTGTGAATTTTATTATTATTATTATTATTATTTTTTTTAAATAAGAATTAAAATTTTAAATATAAGAGATTATCTAATAAAAGCTACTTCCATAATTCTGTAATATTCATAAAATATGAAGTGTTGTTTGTATGATAATGGAAATATTGATTTAAATATTATACGAGAAAAGGCATTTATCTTTTTCAAAAATATTTCTTTATTTAATGAAACTAGAATTTAAGATCATGCGGCGATAAAACATTATAAGATTATATTCAATAGCAAATATCTTTCCTTCCAGCTGAGAGTGAAAGTAAAGAAACTGAAAATGAACAGTCTTCCAAGGTTACACCATCTCAGAATACACCCGAAACTAGACGATATGATTATTTAGATTATGTGGATGATAATAGCGAACAAAGATACTCTGATAATGAATATGGAATAGCACCCAATCAACAAAATGAAGGACAGGGTGACGTTATGGAACCTTCTTTGTATTCGATGCGTAAGTATCGTTTGCTTTGCTTTTAACGAAATTAAATGTATCCAATGTTTAATTAACAAGAAAACAGTTTATAAAAATAGAAAAATTGGCCGAGATTTTATTGAAATTATTAATACTTTACTTATTTTTTTATGGAGAGAAAATCAGTACTCTGTCTCATTAGATATTACTGATGTTGATATTTTCAATTCAATCCCTACATATTTTAAGTTTCTGATTCTTTTCAAATGATAACATTNATACAAAAAAGTATTATTTTCGTGGAAAAATCAATATAGAGTTTTCCATGAAAACATTCTTTTAGAATGCCCCGAATTCGATTTTGTTGATTTTGACATGATGTCCATGTTTTTATATAAGCTTTATATCAATAATATATAGGCTATAATATACACATATATAAAACATAATATATATATAGGCTGTATCAACGATATTTTTATTTTTAAAGTGATAGAATTTGGAGATAAGCCAGCATACGATTGTTCCAACGCCCTTTATTGTCGTAAAAGAAACGTTTAAAGTTGAAACCATAAATAATAAATTATATAATATATAATTAATATTAATATATTATTATATTAATTCTTTATTTTCACGCAATGATAATTATTTTTAAACATTCAAATAACGAAACGGAAATTAAGCTATTAATAGCTTTTATTATCAAGTGTTTCACATCCATGTTTACAACAGACTCCTGCCTGCGTAACCTCCTGTTAACTTGTTAGTTTTTGTTGTTAACACTCACTGCATGCTACTTGTTAGTTTTTTAACAAGTTGTTTTTTGACATTTTTCATGTTTTGACGGCATTTAATCGAAATCCGGCTTCATTATTTTTTTAAAGGTATCATCCATTTCTCCACTGACTAAAAATTCAATTATAGGCACAATTACTCTTTTATATAAAAAAAGAGAAGATGAATTTTCATATTCTTTTTTATTATTATTTAAGAATATTTGTAAATATTTGCAAGAAAAAATAATTTTTTCCCTTTGAGGATGGGCCTTCGATCTGATATTAAAAAACACCTATTCTAAATGCTTCTATTTGATTATATTGAATAATTTAATTTACTTTTATTAAACTTGATTTGATTTTATATGCTTTATATATATATCAATGACATTTTTATTTTTAAAATGGTAGAAGAAGTTGGAGATTATCCAGCATACGATTTTTCTAACGCTCTTTATCGTCGTAAAAGAAATCTTCGAAGTCGAGCTTTACCACTCCGTGAACGAAGTTTCCGAAGTAGTTTGAAAGATCTGCTATCTCGAAGAAAGAGATTATCTCGCAGAGCTTTAAGATTAAAGAGGCAAACCAATGTCGATAACTTACTCGCACTTTTAGGACCTATTTCAGAAATGGAAAATGGCGGAAGGTTTGAAGATCTTGATGAGGTACATTTATCCATTTTCATTTCGAATTTAACATTAAAAAAATAAATAAATAAATTCGTAACGTGCTGCAATTTTTAATTATATTTTTAATTTATTTAATATACGCTCTCGATTTTAGTAATGTTTGCCCCTGTAAATCATACTTTTCCTGATAACAATCGAGTCATCAGGAAAAGTATGATTTACAGGGGTAAACATGATCATCCTACTGTAAAGCAGAATAATATGTTTTAATAAAAATTTATCGAATTTAAATGTTTAATATAAATTTTTAAACAATAAATTATAAATTAATCGAAATAAAAATGATTATTTTTTATATAGGTTCCATCCGGATATGGAATTCTTCCGGTAGATTTAACAGAACAACAAAATTCAGATTACGGTTACAACACTTACGCCGTTCCCGAAACACTGGAAGATTACGAACCATCGAGATTGTTAATGAAAGATGAGGAATTAGACCTGCCCGTATATAGACAACACGATAATGATCAGTCTTGGATGTACAGAAGACAACCCGTGTTTACAGTCGCCCGTCGATCACCGTCATACTTCTATCCGGTTGATTATCGTTTTTTGGCATTTCCAGGACAGAAAAAGAGATCAATTAATCAAGGAAAATGGGGAAAAGTTGTAGAAACACAATCTAATTACAATCCATCCGATGAATTGGCTAGACTCTACGCTTTGGCCAATCTTTTAGCTGAAGCGGAAGAACCCGAATATCGTTATCGGCGATCAGCTTGAGTAAGTTGCTATTTTTCTGTTATTTTAAGAGTGTATAATTTGAAAAATGATATTAATTAATCAGTAAATATCATAATTTCACAAGTTAATGACAATTTTAATGCTGTAGCCTATATTTTGTATATTGTGCAACATTGCAGTTTAATCATTATAGATTTTGTAAATATCTATATACGGTTACAAATGTTTTCCTTTTCTTTTTTTAAAGATTTTATATTTATTTATGAACAAATTTTTCATTTTAAATTTAAAATATGCATGCCTTTACAAGTATTTTACGCATTATTATCAGTTACGTGAAAATTTTATTTAAAAATAGATTAAAATTAACGAAGAATGAATGACTTGACTTCTTCTTCAATTGAATAAAGAAATTGGAAGTGACGTTATATGACATTAGATTGAAAAGGTTACGATCTTCTCTCTTCTTCGTCACTATTGTTAATCAATCAAGTTTTTCTAAGCAATTAAATATTGTATTTTATATCTAGATAATTATTATGCATCAGTGTTCGAATTAAAAAAGTTCTCGTTAAAATGTTACAGAAAAATGCTATTATTAACAGTTCATATTTTATACATAAAAAAGAAATTATTAATGATACTGTAATTATCTATAATACAAGGTTTTCACAAAATAACTCCGGGATTTCGTATACAATTTAATAAATGATACGTAAGGACATAACTTCAAGTTTTTTTTTCGGCATTTAGTGTATTTCCATAGGTTTTCATGCAAATTTATCCAAGCAATATTCTATCACTTAGTGTGATAATCGCAATGGCATCGGTTATTCTAGTTATTTTGTCTCGCAGGTGGTCAAAACATCGTTGCATATACCATGTTCTTTGCATGTGCCCACATAAAGTCAAGCAGTATCTGAACTTTGAAATGACCACACTCCTAATCAATCTGTTAAGAAACATGTCTAAAGTTACACGAGCACGATTACTAAAATGGGGCAGGTTCTTTTGTGTATTGCTTTGTGTGTGGTAGTCACAGAAATCCGTAATTCTAAACTACATTGAGCTAACTACTTTCATGGACTTCGAACACAGGAAACTCGGATTTGTTCTACTTTATCTTCTTATGTTATATAGAAAACTTCAGCTATATAAAGGGCATTTTTAAAATGAAAAAAAGAACATATTTTTCATTTTTATTTAAAAAAATGTTCCTTCTTCTTATTCAGACATACATACAATGTTCTCCTTTCAACAAGAATTTTTCATCAATTCACAATTTTTTCAGCCTGTAAGGCCTATAAATAGTTTATTTTTTCCTCCAAAAACTGTACTCCTATATAAAATAAAAATCAATTTATTTTAAAGAATTTTATCAGTTTTTTTTCTATTATTTTTACACTAGTAACTAAAATATTATATATTTTATATCTTTGTTACAGTTATAAAACAAAAAATTACTTTAGTTTTAATAAAAATAACATTAGACATTTCATATAAATGTAAATAATTTGGTTATAAAATTCTTTATTGATAAATTGATAATCAATAATGCTAATTAGATTTCAAATTATAATAAGAAAGGGAACTTTATTTATCATAAGAAAATATCAAACTATATATATTTATATAGTTTG